AACGATCGGGCTGTACAAGAGCCCATTTAGCAGACCACATAACAAATTGGTTCAAATAGCAATTATGAGATTTATACAATTAGTGTACAAAATAAGTTCAGACTACTAACGAGTTAACTTATACTCAAATGGGAACAGTATTCTTCGATGCAGCCTCTGTTCGTGGTTATCCGTACTGAAGACCTATTCAACTTTTTATAAATGAGTATGCCCTCCAATTAATTTTCTGTGCATCGTTCAGTTCTCAGCTCTCCAAACAACTTCAATGAGATCGCCTTTAAGTATTGCTTCAAGCACTTTTAGACGTTAATCATTATACCAAAAACTTCCTAGTCAGCCTAGCTGCTTCCTACGGGAGCTCAGCTCCATTTATAGCAAGAAGTTTTCCGCAATAAAGGTCAAATCTGCGCGAGCTTTTGAAGCAGATCATCGCAGAAGTGGGAAAAAGAGTATGACCAAATATACTCTAAGTAAAAGGTTCCGTTATGTTCATAAATACTGAATAGAGAATGCTGCTCGATAACTCTCTGGTGATCAGTGACGATGAGGTGGTCGGTGACGAAGCATAGCCCGCTAGCCACAAATGCTGGCTCCAGTAGCTCGAGTGAGGCAGGACGATTTAGCTCGAAACATAAGAAATTATCGGCGAATGCTCAATGAAAGTGCTGTGGCTCAGGGCCCTCCCCTTTGACAGACGGAACAGGCCCTTAAAGGAGGCAGTGCTCACGTACACAGAACCATCTGATTTCTATGGTCTATTTATGACTGATATTGCACTAATGATCAGCTACAAACATTGATGCACGAAGTACAAGCACAACTCTCTGGGTCAATATTAGAATATGCTGGTCTCAGTTTTATCGAGAAAGCACTATTGAAGAGATTTTGGTGAGTGGTCGAAGAAGATGTCTTTACGCGAATTCTACGTCACTCTTTGATGTCGACAGGGGGTGCTCAAAGACAACGTTTACGCTGAGGTGCACAAAACTAATCGACTTTGGACAGCCTGTACATACTTGATTTTTTGGAGTTGATTGTCTAACAAAACAAATATCAATGCCGACTAGAAGAATGATTAATGGGAAAGAGATGTCCTAACTCTCCTAAAATAGGTCACAAAATACTCAATAAAACTAGCGAACGTGTTCAGTTTCCAAGGACGTCGCTTTTCTAATGAAAAAAATGCGAATTGCGAAACTCATGAGGCGTTCTTGTTACTAATTTCCTTGCAGGGAAGCGCTTCAGCGATATTTCGACCTCTGTGACACTACGTTTCTAACATCTTAATTTCACTATATAACTGAGAACAAAATTCTCTGCGAAGTTTGAACAGTCCTCCAACAATAGTTTTCTTTCTGCAGCGGTAAAAGTTTTCTATAGAATCAACATTTTACTATCAACAAAAAAAATCTGTCACGAGGTATAAACAGTGGGCTTTGAAGCACAAACGTAATTCTCCTTTTGTTGCTACAAACCAAGCATAAAGATCTTCACCAATCCATTGAAAACAGCTTGAAAATTAGTATTTCTGAAAGCTATTGAAAGATTACTAATATAATAGTTTAGTGGAAAGCTATTTTTTGGAAAAAGCCAGGAAAGCACGAGCACATTCCATAGAATGTGACCGCTCTCCATGCAATTCGCAATAGAAACTGATTTTTAAGACAAATAGGCGGTATTTTGTCTGAAAATGCTTTCAAGAAAAGTTCCACCAGTGACACGCAGTCTTTTCGTATCGACAATATTTGCTAAGAAACAAAATTTTACGGTTCCCTTCTATTATCGAGGAAATTATGAATATATATGACCCTTTTCGCTGCACACGACTTCAATGCATTCTTAGTGATCATTGAAAGCTTGAATTGCTGGCTACTTCAATAGTTGGCATTTTCGAAAAGTCTTTTTGGTTGCTTGTAACACAAAGAAAGCATTTGTATTTCACACATTCATATTTCTCACAGGGCGAGAACAGTCTCTTAAAGTTATGAGTTAGCATTTGATAGCATAAGTTTCGATGATTCTAACGCTGTGCTTATTTTCTGGAAAATGGTTTCACCGCAATGTAGGAGGGAAGATAAGATTGACTTCATAAACGTAGGCATTTGTTTTTCGTCTAACCTATGGGCTAGGTGAGAGTGGCAGAAAGGAAATGCTCGTCGTTCCATTGCGTCGATCGATCGATTGCGTTAATGTGTAATAAATGTGGCGTGTTTTTATACTATCAAATGATTATAGGGACTTGCTCAAAAAAGAAAGAAATGATACGTTCCACATGGCAATATAAGGTCTTCTCATAAATTTTCCCACTAGAGCAATAAACACCAAATCTATTAAGCAAAGTGATTTGAAATGCTTAGCGCACTATTCAAAGCGTGGTTATCAGCCTGAACATATTTCTGCAATCGCTCAGGTCATCAAGCCAATACCGCTTTGTGCAGAATTTCTGAGCTTTCTTTAGATACAAAAATTGTCCTCATTTGCTGCACCATGGTCGCTTCAGCAAATCTTATATCGCAATTTGTTGCTTTACGAATACAAATCGGAACGTAAAGCACACATTGCCTTCGAGAACATCAACCTTGCAAAGGCTCAAACATTTGTATCCAGAGCGCAAAGTGTTTCAGTTTCTTTGTTGAGTTTTTGTGGTGGCAATACCAACTCTGCCGAGGGCACTGCAGTGTGATGTAATGAGCAGCCAAAAAGATAATTGCGGGTTCGAAGTCCTTCTGAGGTTCCAACTTTTGTTGATGTCCCATCAGTTTTTGCGGTTGTGTTATATTTATTTCAATTTATATGAGCATCTGATCATCAAAGTCTGTTCAAGCTACAAAATCCAGCACGTAGGAAATCAAAGATTGAAAGAGATTTGAAGAGCTGTGGAAGTTTCTGAGGTCTCGCCATCGCACGTCGGTGACCCACGCCCCACATTAGCCCTGCACTGTAGCAAGGAGGAGCGTATGTGATGAGGACACAGTGTACAATGACACTGGTCCATCACCACTATCTCAGTCGATGAACTTCGGCTGGTGGAACACAAAGTGATCCAAAGAAGCGACTGTTTTCACTATTGTGAATGATTATTGCGAGGTATCAAAAACAGTCGATGCCAAGTAAAATTACAGTCACGCTCCATTGATCTTACTTCTAGCTACAAGATGCCGACAATACGAACGGAAACTTTTGATAAGGGCGAAATATGAACACAAGCGGAGAAGCCGCAATGCATTAGCAGTCCAGTCGCTGAGCCCGCTAAGGCGCCTCATCATCATAGAGCGTGGCAAAATTTTGAGCACTTCAAAGCTATCTCTCTACTTTTTCCACATGTCGATTGTGTTCAATGTGAAAACATATTTTGAGCCATTCGTGAGGCTTTTATGGCACCTTAAACGGTGCAAGACACGTGTTTCGGCATTATGACTTCGTCAGGTGAACTCGTGCCGGTTCCGTCAGTCACGGGAGATGTCACCTACGTAAGGAACCGACGCCGAATATTTACACCTGCCGAAAGGAGAAATAAAATCACTCAACGGGCAGTGTCGCACACTCGATCGCTTCTGGCTAGTAAACATGATTGAGCGTATTTTTCCCTGAATAACCTATATTAATTAAAGCCATGATTTTGCTAGACCATGGGATGTCAGTACTTACATTATAACAATGAATGTCCAAATCAGCACTATACGTCTATGCTAGCCTCTTCTTGATATTTTTTTTCATATCGATGCATCTGCTTTCTATGCAGAGTTTTTGATTAGGATGAGATCCGAGCTCCACTCGAGTGATACCTGAATTAACCAAAAACTCTGCATATTGTTTTCATTGCCTTAACGAAACCCATCTGATCCATCTCTCATAGCTGGCGGACAACATGCTAACAACACTGAAGCTGTTTCCGTCTTATTTACGTGTTCATTGTAATGTTCTGCATATACCATGCCACTCAGAACTATTATAGATCTGAGGACTATGTGTCATCAATATTTCATGATTGCAACGACACTGACAAATGTACAAATACTCTCTGTGCTAACCAAATGTGTTATTAATTTTTCATCCTGATCCAATTGGCTCTAATGCATAGCTTTCGCTCAGAGTGAAATTAGAACTCACGCATGGACCCTAATGGATAAGCAGTCATTCGCCTTAATCAATCAGCCATCACATTTGGTTGAACAACGTTTTGAAAGCTTCAAAGCTATTCTCGCCTCATTTACATGCTTCTTGTAGTGCTCTGGACAGGCTCTAATAGTCAAAGTCACTAATGTGATGACTGCAGAGAAAGTTCTATGCCTTTCCAAAATGCATAGAAATAATTCATCTGTGCACCATTGAGCTCAAACACAGACATATTGATAGTCAAGGTAGTCTCATTCCACTTCAAGACAGTTCAACCGGCCATCTGGATAATGTACCAAATCGTCATTGGATCACTATCAAACTCATCAGCCAACATCGGCAACCTCATCAATTAATCTTCTTCAATTCGATTGACGACCTGCTGGCGATTCGAACTTCTCATGAACGGACCTCTCTAGGCTTTTCTGCAGTCAGTCTCCTTCTCCATGGAATGTCCTTGAACCAACACTGAGTATATGAAACATCGCAAATTTCGGTACACGCCTTGCAGATTTGTCGACTGAGTCCCAGAAGACATTCATAGCCAATTCACAGTGTGAAGTGGAGCATTAGAGCAAGTAATCTTCCTTGGACAGTTTCCACTCCTGGAGTCTGTGTAGACAAATGATATATATATCACTTCGATGCGCAAGAATACAAGCTTTCTGATGAGCTCAAATTCCACATGAAATATATGTGTAAAGATCATATTCTGAGATAGTACGACACAAATTTTCTATACAATCTATTACTGTAAAATACGGATTATGGATATCAGTACTACATGACAACAAGGAAAATTCAAAGTAGCACATTTACTCTCTAAGCTATCTCTTTGATAATATTTTTCCATCCAGATGCAGCTGGTCCTATTACAAAGCTCCCGATCAGGATGAGATTCGAACTAACGCGGGGAAACCCCAGTGGATTAGGAGTCCATCTCCTCACCACTGCGCCACCTCATCGACGACGTTGTCCTTGACAACGTATGAGGACATCAGAACTATTTTCATCGCATTCATATCTTTCTTGGAATGCTCTGAGACCGATACTATGCAAAGCCGTTCATTCTTTCTGACTATAAGAGGACAAATCAAACCGACCTCATTAGCTGGAGAAGAACTTTTCATAGGAATGTTAGCAATCATTTGAAAGCTAAGATTTGATACTACAGCCCCACGTCGCCGATCTTCGAAAAAGCCTTTTCTTGACGATGCTAGAGAAGAAGATTTCTTGTGTTGCAGACGTGCATATATCTCGCCGGAGAGAGGTCATTCTTTGAACTATTAGTATTCATTCGATAGCTTGATCTTTTCTGATTTCAACGCTGTGCTCATATCCTCTCTGACCGTTTCTCTGAAAAGTGGCAAGTAAAATGAGTCAAATTTTTCATCTGCGACCAAGAGTGGAGCTTAGCCATTCCATAGGGTGGTGGGGGCGGGGCGTGGGCGGATATGGCTGCTTTCACACGACTATCGATCGGTTCGAGCTTTGGCTAGGTGGCATATCTCCGTGCTTAACACACAGAATCAGCCTTCCCAGAAAATAAGCATAGCGTTGGAATCAGCAAACGCTGCGCTATTGAATGATTACTAATAGCCCAAAAAAGCTCTGTCCGACAAGGTATAAAGCATAATATTTTCTTTCTCTTGGAGCCATCGAAAGATAGATTCGAATCGCATACTAATCGAATAATTTTCGTTAGCACTGAAATCGCTGAGCGTCGGTGGGCGAGTGGCTACTAATGCTTGTCTCGGCTCGTGCGCGGGATTGATCCCCACTCTCAACACGCTGCCGTAAATCAATATTGAATGCCCTACACATAGACTCAGCTTGGTTATCCTCTAACTTGTTAGAAGTTGTATTCAGCCAAAATTCTACGACTTTCATGAAGAGGATAACTCCTCAAACAAGTGATGATCGCAAGCAGACGAATTTGCTAGAAGAAGTGAGACACGCCCACTAAAAAAAATGTGATACGGGTCAAATGAAGTGATAAAAGAAAAATACTGCATCCTCCTCCTCCTCCTCCTCTCCTCCGGGGCTCCTGATAAACCATATCGCAAGCGAAAAGCTGTGAACCATCGAACTCGGACCAATACGACTCAAGCTGAAGGCTTTCGAACCTTGGCCGACCAGCTCCTAAAGGCTCGTCTTACTGACCCGACGTGAGGTTGGTAATTGTAAAAGCAACAACAGTAGTGGTGATCGCAGTTCGATGGCCCGCGACGGACTATTTGGATGAGCCGCAGAAGCATCGATACCTTCATAAGTTTTGGCATGCATTTTTCGGATTTTGGGATTTTTTAAAGGATATTTCCAATAAGAACAGCGCTTATTAACGCGGAAATTTTTTACTTTTTCGTTTGCAACTTGTGTGAAGTGCAGTCACACTCTGTGGAATATGTTTTCTTCCATTTTTTTTTACTGAACAGAGCTTTTATAATCATTCCATAGCTTTAAAGGCGGAGAAAGATTGACTTGATTATTATTTCTCAAAAAGGTCCCTATTACGTTTTCAGCAACGAGAAGAATAATACGCTTTCTTCTAATAGTCGTTGTTTCAACATCGTAGCGAGCTTTCTCGTTTTCCTGTAGACAAATTTTGATTCTAAGTAAACTTTTAGTCGCGTCAGAACGATAGAATGGCATTGAAGAGACTTTTACAACAATTTTTTTTTTTAGGAAAAATGACACCCAGTTGTCGCCAGTTTCAAAGATGCAAGCTACGTCCTCTAAACCCTAAGCATCTCCAAATTTTTCCGTTTACTTTCACAATGTTGTCAAAACTTCGAAATCTACAATATTTCTACTGCTTATTTCTCAGTGTTATGACATTACTATATAACTTAGAGAATTGAGTGTAGCAAAAACACGGCCTCAGTCGGGAATCGAACCCGCGTTTCATCCTGTCCGGGGACGCGTGCTTTAACCACTACGCCATCGAGGCACATTTAGCTCGAGTATATAAAGTAACATCATGAACACTGCGAAATAAGCAGTAGAAATAACTATGATTTCGTAGCATATTATATATAACAATAGAGCTGTAGCATCACTGGTTTTATAAAGCGAAATCGCACATCCTGACCAAACCTGCTAAAGGTTGGTGGCTGATGGCTACATAGAGATGGGTTGAAGAATGAGTGGTTGGGCAAACGTGCCTCGGTGGTGTAGTGGTAGGGCACGCGTCCCCGGATAGCATGAAACGCGAGTTCAATTGCGCCTGAGGCCGTGTTTTTGACTCACCACTCAATTCTCTAAGTTTTATAAATTCGCAAAATTATATTCAAGAAAACTATTTTATCTAAGTACAACGTATTTAGAAAAACAAACGCTTAGAAAAATCTCAGCGAGAGTTTTCTAGTATGCAGCCGGAGTACGTCTTGGCAGTGACTCACCATTCATCAAGTGATGAGTCCCTCTCAAAAAACGATGCATTGCTCTGACCAAGACCCATGAGTTACTAACTGCTCGAAAAATTGTTCAATAATTGACAGCCTACAGTAATCCTCAAGACACCGATTCTTTATTTATCTTGGCGTTCTTCAACAGCCAACAATTTTTCTTTCTATAGCAATGTTATGGCCAAGGTTATTCATAGCACAATGAATTCGATCAGTTGGTGTTTTCACCTGATCTTTCCGGAGGTTTCTGAAAAAGGGGATACCACTGAAACGTCAGCTGATAGAATAAATAGCATTCGGCAGCTCATTTGTACAGTCAACATAGGTCAACCGCAATTTGCCTCTACTCATACGTTACCATCCGATCAGTTATTTAAACTTAATGGGCGTAGAACTTCTTTCTTGCAGCCAGCAATTAGCAACTTCCTACTCTGTGACCAGAATACTAGTAGTCATTCGACAGCTGCAGAAATGGAGACTTCGCAATTAGCTTGGTTTTTGAAAACCTTCCTGGCGCAATGCATAAGCGATGAGAACATACCGCTTTGATTTTGAAGTACTTTAGTCCGCTGTTTGATCTTTGAAGCGGTAGTTCTTGCAACATAACGTTGAGTTTTATAAATGGTCTTGTTAAGTACTGAAGAAAGTTGCATCGGCTTTTTTGCACAAATCTGTTATAACTACATCCTCGGAAAAATAAACAATATTCCAACTCTAATTGCGTTTTCTTCGTTGTCTATCTTATGAGAATATAGCCGTCTTTCCCCTTTCATCATTCCTTCTGTCACCA